TACATGCAAACAGATCGGTGTTTGATTCTTACATGTGCAATCATATCTAGCAAGCATCTTAAGTGTCATATCATAAAGAGTCAAAAACCATCAAATTCTGCCCTTACAGAGAGAAGCTAGTGTAGAGCCACAGTGGGTAAACATTGCTATTCATTGTTATTCAGAGGTATAGCTCAGTAGAAGCAGCAACAAAAGGAGAATGACTGTCAGGAGTGGTTCAGCGTATCCTTCAAAACAGCGGATTGTTTGTTTCTGTTATATTCTGACATTGAAGGATACCATTTAAGACAAACTTAAACTCAAGTCTTTGTGGTGAAAAATCTGTCAGAATATTATATTTGCCGTTCCTTTACAGCAGGTCAAATAAAATAATTGGGACTCTGTCCAATTTGTGTTGAGAAAATGTCAAATCCTGTGTGAATTCTCAAATCCCCAGAATATTTCCACCTGAAAAAAATGGGCTACAATGCATCAGTGGTTCCATTGAGTATGGTAGCCTGTCAAAGAAACCATCAATGTAGCGTGAGCACACGTTGTGAGGTTTTACTGTAACTCCTTCTCTACTGTAACATTGCCAGTGTCTCCTTACTTTCCACTTTATGTCCTCCCTGGGCACTTGTACAGGGAGGACATAAAGAAAACTTGTGCACTTGTACAGGGAGGACAGCACAACTAATAAAATATACAGTGAGGCCAGACGGCTAAATCTCCCTAAAATATAACAAATAGAAAAACAATACATATTTCAAAATCAGTGTCACATATTCCTGCATCCTCATGGCTAGGCCTTTTTTTTTAATTCTTTTCTTTGAATACATTTCTTTCTCATACAGGTGAAAGGTACAAGACAAAGTAGAAATCTAAGTGAATATAATATCAAATATAAATGCAAAGTTGGGAGCAGGAGAGACTTAATACATCCTGTCACCACGATAAAGTTGTCGAACAGAAGAACCCTTTTTTTTTATCCAAACTGTAGTTATGTGCAGAAAGAGAAGCACAACTTTTACCCTCACATTAACAACACCAAACCATTAAACTTAATCATCTTAAGGTTTATATAACATAACTACAGCTGAAAGAATTAGTCAAATAATCAATTAGTCAATCAATAGAAAAATCAACTGCAACAAATTTGATACTCAATCATTCGAGTAATTTGTTCTCTCACTGTGGCTATCTGGGGAAAAAAAAACTTCAAATATGAGTTAACTCTGGTTAACAACACAAAACCATTTACCATGAGTAATTTTTAAAATTCCCCAGGTGACAGGTGCAATAATCGCCATTTTCATTGCAAAATTGAACTAAACCGATGATGCGTTCTTCACAGGCCTAGGCCCAGTATTCAGTGTGTTTATGCCATCCAGACTTATCATCAAATCTCTATTCTCAAAGCAAAGGTTTAGAGAATGTGTGTGTGTGTGACACCTTAACAAGTTTACTCTTACCATCGTTAACGCTTTTAATCCAACATGTTTTTAAAGGACAGGTAGAGCCAGAGCTACCTGTTTGTACTAGCATACACAGTTTCATTAGATTAAGTTGAATGATGACTATGAAAGAAATTGTGGGGTTTGTTTTACTGTTTGTGAAATACTTCATAGCAATTGGATGTAATTACACAAGCTATTATCATCATTAGCCACCTGTACGGGTCTTGCGGACGACGCAGCCAATCAAAAGCCTATCTCATCTCCATGGAAACGTGAGCTTTTGTCTCAGCTGCAATCAATATTTTAAAGAGACCCAATGTTAGTTACAGCCTAGTGCGACCAACACACAACAAACATTCATTGCAGCAGCCACGGCCAAGCAGGCGGCCTCATCAGAGCAGCAAGCCGGTGCCAGGATCCACTCTGTGTCTACTGCTCCTGTTTTGTCTGATCTTTAATTATCAGGTTCATCAGCAACAAAGGCTAACTACTCTGAGGTTGTTTAAAAAGGGAGGCTGTGATATTCTCTGATAAGTCTATGCTCTCTCTTTAAAAAAAACAAAAAAACAAAAAAAAAACCGTTTGAAGCGAGAGCAATGATGTAACGTGCCGTTATGTTACTATTATTACTATTATTATTATTATCATTATTATAATTATTATTTTATCAATATTATTGGTGTAGTTTACTTGTGTTTTACATGCCTACATGTTGCATGATAAACAATGTCAGCCCCATGGCAACATGTTAATGATTCACCTGCAGTGCATCAATAAAAAATAAAAAAAAACACTGCCTGAGCTGTGAACATGTCATTTGCTAGGAAAATGATGTACAATGTTGAGCTGACGAAGCTGTGTGTTCGACATAGCACAGCACAGTCAGACATCCTGTCAGCGTGGATTAAAAAGTGAACTGTGATGGGCTTCCACAGACCTTGGCACAAAGTCACTGCCCCTTGGACTAAGGCTTTCAAAATTTGTTTTTTATGCAAAACAAGTCAAGGCCAGGGACAGTTAGGGTGAAAACTGCATGCAAGGAACACACTAGGGCATTGGAGAGAGACAAAAGACAAACTGAGCGTGGAATAGAAAAGAGTTAGATGATGTTCATTGAAGATAAATATATTAAGCCTACCCTAAGGATTTGAAAATGGAGAATAATTAACCAAACATTTGATATTAGTGGCATATGACCACTGTTAAATTAAAGCCCCTTTTCCAGTTACACTGCAATTCTTTCCTCTGTCACTGTCAGAGAGGAAATCACAAAGCCCCTCAACAATTATTTCTCTTACAGATTTGTATCTTTCGTTTCCCTTCTTTTGTGGCAGTCAAGAGAACCCTATTAATCATGTCAGTGTGATGCTTGGTCATTTGTGACCTAGCATGACAAGTCACCTCTGGGACAATCATCTTCTCACAGCCTTTGTCACAGGGGGATGTTAAAATCTACTCGCTACCTAACATTCGGGTGACGAGTGTACAGTAAAAGACCAAAAATTTTTAGACCATCGGCTCAGCATCTGGAGGTTCATGTTTCTTTTTCCTTTTTTCAGCCACAAGTCTTGAGCTCTAACAGGACACAGTGGTGCAATAATCAAGGATATGGTTTCTAATGTCTGGTATGGTTTTTAGTGAATTACAAATACAATCCTTGATTTTGTCACAGCGTCCACCACCTCCCCAAATTTCCAAATTTCACCTCAGGTCACTGTTGTACCGTCCACAGCTGTATTTTGCATTTCATTTGCATTATGCCAGTTACATGTAAGCCTCTTTACATATCTGACTTCTCTCTGCACTCTGCAGATAAGGATGACAAGTGACGTCCTTCTTGCAATAGGCATGTGAATAGTGGTGGAAGAAGTACTGAGATCCTTTATTTAAGTAAAAGCAGCAATACCACAATGTAAAAATAATCCATTGTAAGTGAAAGTTCTGCATTTAAATCCTACTTAGGTAAAAAGGTACAAAGATATTACCAGCGAAATCTACTTACATCTGCAGGAAAACGGCCCTCTGACACTTATATTATTATATAACAGAGAGTAGGATTTTACTGTTGGATCACTGAAATAAGTGTGGGTGTTTGGACAGAACGTAAGGGTCTACAGCCATGCACCATTTTGGCTTAGTATGTTAGTATGCTCACCTTTAGTAATTAGTAAAACTGAGGCCGATGGGAATGGCAATTAGTTTTGCAGGTATTTGGTCATAAAGTTAGAGGGAATCATCTTCTGGGCACCATGCATGTCTATGCACAATTGTTGAGATATCTGGACCAAAGTGGTGGACTGACTGGCATTGCCATCCCTGGAGCCATGTATCAAGCATGGCTCAAAAGATCAGTCTAACAACATTTTTATTGATCTAGCAATGTATCTATACTTTTGTTTATATTATACTTTATATAATTATACTCGTCTGACTGAGACTGGGTCATCTCCGTAATACAATAACCTTTAAAGTCACGGTTTTTAGACGGGCTACAAAATGTTTTTGATTTCAGACCCGGTGACTCACTAAAGCCCTGATGAAGACAGAAAGCAGCCATAATATTTTTGTTGGCATCCAAATAGAATACACTGCCTGTCTCTGGAGTCCTTTTAAATATGACAAATCCTACCTGTCTCTGCTTTAAGAAAACCAAGTACAGTAGAGATTTGTGACAGAATTAAACTAAAAAAGTCTCTATTAGTTTGATAAAATTTCTGCTTCATTATTTTAAATGTACTCTGCTACAGATCTGTTTTTAAAAATATTTGGCTGAATGGGGCATCCAGGAAATGTCTTGCCAATAATCAAAGTAGGCGGTCAACATGAAACAATAGGACCAACAATCATTATCAGCATTCTTCCTTGTAAAATATTAACCTTTAAATGCCACTGTCTATATAGCAACCAACAGATTTAAAGAATATAAATAAAAACATAACCATTATAGTAATTAATCTGTATTTTGTCTGTGAATGGTCAAATCCACCTCTATATAATGATCAATTATATTGTGCAGGCACTGACTGGGACCATTTTTCTCTAAGTCAGATCTATGTGTCGATGTGTCAGGGACAATGGCTCACTGAACATTTCATTCCAGTATCACTTGTCACAAATCATGTCGTAAATATGCCTTTTCACAAATCCTATCAGCACCAGAGTGGACGTTGTGCTGATACTACTGTCATCAGAGCTGTCACGCTCTGTATGCTCTCACACACATGCTGGAACAATACTGCTAAAAACAATGAAACATGAAGGACACAGCATCAGACCAAACAAAATCAGTGGGTAAATCTTACAGCATCACAAAGTGTTTTAGTTTTGAGTTTTATTTCATTGCCCCTGCAGAAATCAATTAGTAATGCACTTTTTTCATCATTGTCGTGACAAGGTTTTAAAGGTCTCTAGACACTGTTCTGCAGATCCAGTTAAAACTTTTAAAAAGAGTCATTATTTACTTCTTTTTAGACTTATTTGACCCTTTCTGCCCAAGGTTTTCATTTCAATTGATTTGGGCTTCTGCAGGATAAACATATTACCACTGTGCATGTGTGATTTTACCTTCCATGACGTAAACCAGTGAGCCCACATCGCCCTCCTTAATGATACAACTGTCCTTTCCATACTCCACAGGGTACATGCAGTCAACAATCTCTTGGATCTGGGACAGCTCCAGGTTCTTCATGAAGTCATTGTCCAAGATGGCTTCCTTGATCAGATCCTTGGACCTGGAGACAAGGTGAAACAAAATGAGACCATTGTTTTACATGTAGAAACACAAACTCATATGCCATTGGTGTTTTTTTTATTGTAGAAAAACATAATGAGGGGGAGAAAGAGAGAGACATTATTACAAAAGCCTAAATGGATCACACACAATGTAAAATCCAGTGAAGGATGTGAACCAGTTCACCAAGCAGGGATGTTTATTTCTAAGGCAATAAAAGTCTCATTCAAACTGCACAGTAGTTTTTCAAAAAAATATCTATCCTAATTTCAAAGATATCAAGGTGAAGCCTATTTTTCCCTCCAAATGTTGAAGTCAATAAATGACAAAGTCTGTGTCTAAGGGAAGCAGGATTTTTCCATTCAATGATGCACCTCTGAAAGCCAGTTTGGCTTTCAGAGTGCTGAGTCATTTGGACATTCCACAGGTAAGTATTTCCTGCAATGATTATGTAAGCCTGGGAGAGAATGTAATTATTATTAGAAAATCAGACATTATGAAAGTGGACATTAAATCAAGAAGTAAAAAGTTTGAAGATGTTGATGTACCACAGACGAAAGAGACATTTGTTCATAAAAGGTGTCCATGTGTTGACAACAGGTGAATGCAGGCCAGATGCAATGATGTTTGAAACCGTCAAAGCAAGCGTCAGTTTGATCTACTATGATACGACAGAGCACCAAGAGACGGGAGAGAAATCTGAGGCGGGCCAGATCCTGAACAGTGAGTCAAGATCACTCATTCATTGAAGCATGTCATCACCAGAGTCTTGAGTTGCTTGTCTGAGTGCTGTGTGGCTCATTTTGAGACAGAGTGTCAGCTGGATGAATGAGGTTAATAATATGTATCAGGGTTAATCCAACAAGGAGTCCCCTCCTACTGAGAAGGGAAGCTTTTATACTCTAATTCATATAAAGGCAGAAATAACTCACTCTCTGTCCCCTGGTAGGAGGATTCAAAGGCACTGGTAAACTGCCTCTTGCCTTGTTTTGCTTGGTGCCCTTTTCAGAAACTGATTTCAAGGAGCATTGTTGACGCTGATCACCTGAGGAGCTTAAAGCTAAAAGGGCAAATAACCGCAAAGGCATTTTATGAACCAGTGCTCCCACTACCCACAGGCTTCTCTGTCCTGCTCCCAACCTGCAGAAAAGTCCTACACAAACAAAACTTCAATGTCTGCCATGATGCAACATCAGCAGTGACCACTTTTTTTGTTTATTTATGTACTGAGCACCCTGCACATGTCTAGTACTACAAACTCCTCTGAACATTCATGTGTATGTGAGATTATTTTCTATAGTCAGTGTCTTAATTCTGTTCAAGGGTTTACTGCTATCTGCATGAATGCCTCTTCATTAAATATTGACACACTTTGTCAATTTAATTTGGTAAAAAACTTTTTTGCTCCTTCAGATGAAAAACTACCAAAACCAAGAGAGATGCCAATCTGTGCTGAAAAGCAGCTATCACTGTCACATAAATACAAATTTCAACCCTAGCCAGCATCTACAGATTTCAAGTGTGTCAATTTTACACCATCAGCTGAATGATTAGTTTTGGCTTGAGTCTCAAATAGCATGTTAAGATCTCAATAATGTGGTTCTTATAATGTGTGTTTTGCATTCAACAGTCTGACGAATTTTCAATTAGGGCTCAAGGCCTGTGAATTTCTGACAACAGTGATACTGGTGGATAAAAATTAGAAACTAAATTACTCAAGACCAACATTAGGCACATACCAATATCTATTCGAAAACACTGATTACTTAAGTATTGTATTGTCTCAATTATTCACGTACATTGATATACGACTCTCGTGTCAGAAATCCTACTATATTGCATTTTCTGCCTTGAAAGGCCAAGTATAAACCCTCTCAGATTGATTTCCTGAGGGTGGATCATTTTCCCAGACCCCCCTCATTTGCGGACTTATCTTTTTATGTATCTTACTTCTCCTTTGTTTGACCGTTTACAGATATAAGAAAACATGAACAAGACAGGTAACAAGCATCCAAATTAGCAGGACTTTAATTGATTTGAACCTAGAACAGAGCAACCAGGATGATCCAGAAGATTTTAGATGTTCTGGAGTTGCAAGTCAGAACAAGCTACTGCTGTGATTTGAAAAGGGGAAGATTGAGGTGTTGCACCTATTTTTAAATTCCCACCCCTTAATCTGTGTTTAGATTTGCGCTGTGCTTCCCAAACCCTCCTCCCCTTTTCAGCAGGAGAAGATCATTTGGATTTCATCTTAACAGCTCTAATTAGGTTTTAGGGAGTAAACCATAATAAAGCTGTAAAGTCCTGTTTTGTTTTGTTTTGTTTTGGATTGTGATGATCTTTATGATCATTACTAAGTTTGTGATATTTCAAAATAGGCTTAATGTAATGCAGAGCAAGCAGACTCCTTTCTTGTGTGGTTTTTGGTTTTCTGTTGTAAATAAACATGACGTAAATAAACGTCTGTCGTGAACTGACAGGAACAAACTGGAAATCCATTATTTTCCCAGAGCTGACCTCCAGTACTGTGGAAATGTGCCTCATTGACCCTGTTTCTGTTACATTTACACCCGGGAGATTTCTGGCCTTTTCAACCCTCACCGGGACCCCCCGACTCAAGCCTCAGATGGCAACATTGAGCAACCTCTTCCAACCAGACCCTTATAAAAACATCTGCCTTCCTCCCCTTTGTGAGGATGATATATTTGCCTTCATCCACCAGTGATGTTTGGGGCTGAGCAAGTCCAGTCTTCCTTAAAAGGAGAAAATATGCTCGTTTAGGAGGAAAAAGAAAGGGGTGGCAGAAAAGTGGGAGAGGCTAACAGAAAAAACGAGGCAGCCAGAGGGAGAGGGATGGATAGAGAATGAGTAAGGAACGCAGTATGGGCCTTGTAAAGAAGATAAAGTGGGGGAGAATGAGAGCAAAATATAAACATTTAGCCAAACCAAAGAGGTATTATTTCTACACTTCATTAACTAAATAAAATGATAATGTAATGGATCTGTTTTTATCCAATGAGAGCACTTGTATGTCTTATAAAAAAGGAAACCTTTCTATTCTCTAGTGAGCAACAAATAACAAATACTAAGTTAGAAGAGTCGCATAAAAACAAAAGTAATTGATTGATCCATATCGAGAGAAAAACATGAACTTTTTCTTTAGCAAATTTGTCCAAACGAATTGAATAATGGTAATAATGTTGAATTAAAAAGAGAACGGTGCCCAAACACGCTTAATTCATTTGCATATAAATGTCTGTCTACTTTTCCATCATAATATTTTATGCACATAAGCTCATTAAAATAGAGACACAGAACAAAATGTCATTCTCTCTCAGATGGAGAGTGTGAACCGGTGTGGCAGACGCTCTGCAGAAAATGCAGCTGTAGTTGAAAGGCTTTAGTTTAAAGTTTAAATGACCTCGTTGTAAGAAAAAGTCAATTTTTAGTTCCATAATTTTTTCCTTTCAATTTTCCGTGTGAGGATTATCGCCAGAAATCATGCAATCATTCAAAACTACCTATTTCCTTTCATGACTGACTAAATATTGCATCGAAACTCTTTAGTGGCAGATACATCAGATTCTCAGGTAGAAAAAAATGTTAGACTACAGGACAAAATGCAGAACCCACCAGTTTTTTAAAGAGTTGATATTTTCCTGTCAAGGTAAAAGCCTCTTCGGGAAATCTCTTAATGGAAATGAACACATACAGCGAAAGGTTTAGAATGAGGATGATTATCATAATGAAATGGTCGCTCTGTTGTGTTTTCCTCATCTGCAATTCCAAACCAGCGTCCAGGATCTCACATTTATTTACCACAGAAAACCAAAAAGCGCACAAGAAAGAGTCTGCTTTCTGTGTTCACAGATCTGACAGGCAAAACAAAGACTAATGACCTGTTCTTGCTCAGATAAATAACCCCTTGATTTTTGAATCTTCTTTGATGAAATCCTTGGAGCTTTGTTTGTTTGCATGTCAGCAGGATAGTGACATTCATATCTGACACATCTGATTCATCTGCAAAGTCTGATGGGTGTTTTTTTTTTCCTCTTGAGCATTAAACACAGCCATGAAAAAAAAATCTAATTTTAATACTACAATGGATTTAAAAGTAGATAAAAAAATCAGCAGTTTAAAGTTGAACAGTCCAATTCTGCTTGTGTTACTGTTGACTGACCCACTATTCATTTCAACGCTGGATTTAGTTTTGAAAATGTATTGATTAAATGAAGGGTAGATATATTCTTCCTGTCCACCAGGGGGGTAAGTGTATTGATTCATAACAACCTCAAAGTTCAAACTCAACAGACAGATGGATAATTTCACAAAGGAGAACTAGTTTAGTGCCAGTTTCATATTGAGAATCAGACCTCGTGTTGCAGACCAAGTTGAGCATGAGAAAGGTGTTTGTTTGAGACTTGGAAGAGAGAGAAAGAGGGAGAGAGAAAGAGTAGCTCTTGACAAATCATAAGGTAAACATGCACAGAGAGCCTGTAAGACTGCCTGTCGCAGAATCGCAGCTTGTATTAAACAGGCACTGGTACATTACACAGAGCTGCCACCACCAGCTCTCTAAATCTATAATTCCCCTTCACTGGATGAATTTAGATTTCTCTCTCATGTCAGTCTGTGATGATCAGGCTTATTGATATTCAGCTTTCTCTAGTTGAAGGCACATTTTCCTTACATCCAGTGTGTGTGTGTGTGTGTGTGTGTGTGTGTGTGTGTGTGTGTGTGTGTGTGTGAGTGAGAGAGAGAGCGAGAGAGAGCACCACCTCATCCATATGTGCTACAGGTGCCATACCTGCTGCGCCACACGTAAAATTACGCAGAGTTATCAGAAAGGTGGCAAAAGGTGAATGAACTCATACTGGAGAGCGACAGCCAATATAAAACATATTATCATTATTAAAAGTAAATATTATGCAGTCATCATTTGGACACCTACTGTGGGCTTTTGGGGTAGAAAGGTAGGGTGACATGGCTGAGATCGTGGATGTCGAAGGCAGTGGGTTCGGCTGAAATTGCCTGCCTCTTCGTCCGCTGCTGCTCGTTCAGCTCATTTTGCTTGTGGACCTGCTGGGTCGCAGGTTTGATAACGGAGCGGTATTTGTCCAGTTCGTTTTGCAGTCTTTGTATAAGCTCGTCTTTTTGGTCGAGCTCCAGTTCCAGCTCGTCGATGAGCGCGTCCCTCTGTCGCAGCTCCTCAATCTTCTCCTGTAGCGCGTACTGGAGGTCGCGCAAGGTGCCCATTTCAGTTTGCGGCCGGCAACGAGCGACTTCCCAATAAGTTTATCGAAAGGTATGCAGTCGAGTCTTTGTCCTCTCTCCTCTACCACGCTGCTCATAAACTTTATCCGGCATGAACAGCTTCAGAGGATGCAGCCCCTATCTCTCCTGAGGGGGATTCCTCGCCGCTGTCCTTCGCAAACGGATGTTTGGAATTTAAGCGAAGGTATGTTCGGAGGTTGCCGCGATTGCCAAGGTGAGCCCACGAAGCGTCACGGCCACAGTCACGCAAAGTTTGCCCTCTCTCCTCCTCCCTCTCGCTCCCTCCCTCGGCAGTGTGACAGCGGAGGACCGTCCTCCCCGAGTGCGTCAGGCTGCGACCCGGCGAGAGCGCATGGCGAGAAGGGCGCCTACAGGAATCTGTGGCACAGTGCAGTCTGCCACTCTAGAGAGAGCTGCGCTCGTCTCACATGAATAATGGACTCAATGAGAAAGCCACTGCGCGGAGAACCATGTCATCATTCCTCTGTAACTCGCCCTGAGGCTGCTGAGTTACAAATAGATGAGCACCGGAGCCTTAATGGAAGTTGAAGGTGACGGAAACTTAATGAACCTCGATGTAAAAATAAACAAACGCGGGTTTTTTAATCTAATGGGAAGGGACGCTCTGCTGCTTGTACTGTGTTGGACTACTCAAGTGTATTTTGTCAATATGGACAGAAGTGCAAATATTAGTGGATTCCAAGGCTAGCCTATATTTGAACCCTAATGGTACTTTGGGAATCTCTGTTCAGCAACTATTTATTTAGTGACAGATTAAAAAAAGTGGAGCAAGGAAAGGTGCTTAAGGGAAATAAAGGATAATCTTATAGATTGTCAAACAGAAGCAGCAGAGAGGAAAATGCCAAAGCTCCTGAGGCTTACGAGTCTCCACAGCAGCTCCACATTCCTCATCTAATCTTGGTGTCTGTCCACATTATTGAGTCATCTGAAGCTCAGTGAGCAGAACTTGGCCTCATGAGCTCTGGGCAAATTCAGAGGGGGATAAACTGCCAATCAAATAGGTTGAGGAGTTACTGAGGCTAAAACAGCAATTACTGTGTTGGGGGGGGGGGGGGGGGTATCACAGGCAGGATGACAGAGGGAGGCAGATTTCATTGCCTGTGATGATAGGTGTTTTGTGCTGATTAAAAAAAAGCATCTTTTCCCTCAGCCTATGTGAATAATCCCAGACTGAGACAGTTGGCCCAATAAAAGATCACAGCTGCCCTCTTGTGGTGGGTTGTAGGATCAACTCAGGCAAATAACGATACGGTGGCATGTCTTTGCTTCAGTCAAAACATGTCCAACACATCCCATACTGCTGTGTAATATCTATGCAGTGTGTTAAGTAAATAGATTGAAAGGACTGACATGTAAGCTACAGCAGCTCAGCACAAACGGTGCCAAACTGTTTTCAGCAAGACTGAGACTTTAAAAAGGTCAAGCAAGCCATTAAAATAAAGTTTTCTTGTGCTCCTCTAAATTCAAACACCAAACGAAGCCACGGTAGCATTTCTCCTGCTAACTGAAAACCATCATTTTCTTAAAAGGGAAGGGTGAAGGGCACAGAGCTTGAGCAGTATCAAAGTTTACTTCACATCAGGAAACTGCAGGTGCCTGGAGATTTCAGACTCTCCAGTCCAGTGTTGTATCCCCGCATCCTCCCATCATCAAAAGGTCCTCCCACTGCCCTTCAAAGCACCTCTGCGCTTTAAATTTCACCTCTCCAACCATCCAGTTCAGCCCTTTTCCTATGCAGATCAATAGAAACCGGATCCGTTGCTCCATGCTGCGGTAATCCGATGAGCAGGGCGGGCCGCCGGCTGGTGCCACGTCCTGACTCTAATGGGGGGGTCACAGTGTCTCTGACCCCGCGGGGCGCAGGTCTCCTCCAGACACCGTTGGTACCAGGAGAAACCGTGTCATCCCACCATTGCTTTTTTTGCAAACGCAAACAGATTTACTTCCGTTTGACTGTGCAGTGTATGACCACATGCAATCAGCCAATGTGTCCACTGAAGGACTATTCAAGCACTTTTTGTGCCTCATCAGCTGAGTATATAGGCTGCGCATAATTTGAACATTTTCAGAATGAACCCTGGTCCCATAGAAAGGTCAACAATAGATGATTGGTATATCTTGTTAGTCATTTATTCTCTGTGAACATAGGTCATTCATGACCTCTATACCTCATTCTCTTCAAGTATTTTCATTTCTTTCTTCTTGGCTCACGACTGGACTTCAGTGTTTGTTTGAAAGCACATCGAGCATCAGTTAATTAGTGCAAATAAGGACCTGTCCTGTCTGCAATTTATTAATGCAAATGAAGATTGAAGTGTGTGTGTGTGTGTGTGTGTGTGTGTGTGTGTGTGTGTGTGTGTGTGTGTGTGTGTGAGTGAGAGAGAGATATATCAATATAACAAGTAATTTATGCTGATGGGATTCTGATAATAGAAACGGAGAAGAAAATAAATTAAAAGATGAAGAAGACTTTTTTTTGCTTACAGCTAAATCTAACTGAGTAAACTGAAACAAAGTGAAAGTATAAGATACTACCTGATGACCATTCAAGTACAGGCCTCACATGAAACCCTCGAAATCAGTTCAGCTATAGGCTACTGTGAAGCTAAAACGAGCACCTAAAGGTGATGAAGGAAGCATATGGTCAAACAAAGCGTTTTCTAATGGAGTATTAAATATCCTCAGACATGCACTTCGGGTCCTCAGCGTCCAGCTACTAAAAGCCAATAATGCATCGCACTTCCTCCTGTCTGTGTCCTCAGGGACTGCCGTGATGGATCTGATCAATTAGGAGCTCTTTATGAAGCTCGCCTTTGAGCTGCGTCATCGGCCCCCAAGAATGAAAGTGCTCGTCCATTCATGGCAAACATCTCCAAAGGTAGAAAACAGACAGAAAAAAGCTGTGTGGAGACATAGGACACAAAACTACCACAAGAAGTGTGTTTGAAAGTAGATGGTTGGCGCGCAGCACTTGCACATTCATTTTCAGCCACATTTCTGTTAAAAAAAAAAAAAAGAGTTTTGCTTCCTACAGTAGGAACAATATCGATTCAAATCTTTCATGGCTAACATTTGGATTCAGGTAGTGTAAAGAAAAACACTCAAAGAGATGGGACACAAAGCTTCCACAGTAAAGCAACACCGCCTGCTCAAACAGTCTTACCAGTCGGACTTGGCATATTTCCGAAACGGCTGCCTTGACAGGTCCTGGTGCGTCTGAGGCTCCGCGGAGATGCCCTGCGCCCTGCGGGTCCTCGGTCCAATAAGTTGAGCGCTGGGCAGAACAGACTGACATTTGTGCAATTTTCTCTTCAGTTCTTGAATCTCGTCTTCCCTGTCCGCCAGTCGCCTCTCCAAGTCCCGTATCCGCTCCTCCTTTAGCAGCAGGATCTTGGCAAAGTCGTCCTCCAGGTCACTCATGTCGAAATCTGCGTTAAACTTTGCCGCGATTCCCCGCGATGTGGACAAAGCAATTAGTAACTCCCAACAGTACTTGCACAGGTTGTGAAAACGGTCACAAATAGCCCCTTAAATACGCGCAGAATAATGATGCTCCGTGAACCCCCTTCACTGCCCACTTGTTTATTTCAGAAGAAAAGAGCAAAGCGGTGTTTAAAGCCGGGGAGCAGACGATTGATGGAGCTGCGCTACGCTACAGTCCACCAAGCCTCCGGGGAGCTGCTGATGATCCTTCATTGAGAAACCAATTACAGCAGCTCTTCCTCTCCGAGGACGCAGGCAAGCCGTCAAACTGGGCACTAAAGAGTCGAGACAACTCCTGTAGTTCACCGCCTCTCACCCTGCAAACACGCCACAGAGGAAACCCAGTCCTGCTGCTGTCAAATATTTGTTTACCGTCTATCTGCGCAGCCCTCTTGGCCCTCTTGGAGCGACAAAAGTGCAATGTTAAACACCCAGACCCCCCCCCCCCCCCACCCCCACCCCACCTTGCCTATGGCCAAAATCAATTTTCCCGCACCCTTACTCGCTTCATAGAACAAGACAGAGCTATAGCGTGTTTGCAATGGTCACGTTATATATGGAGTAAGCACACATCAGTGAAGTGAAAGTAATCTCCCTATAAGGCAAATGGTCCTTATATCAGCTTGAAGCTTATCGGTTGGTGGTTAAAACTATTGTTATGGTGATTTATTCAAATCTGATCTCATCTTATATGATTTCAAACAATAAAAAAGTGTTTACAAAAAGTAAATGAATAAACAAAGGATATGGATTTGAGGTATCAAATTGAGGCACATTTTTTGATAAACAAAATGGTGCATACAATGAAATTATAAACTCTACTCAGAAACTAGTCTAAAGTGAACAACAAAGCAGATCAACCATAGTTTCAGGGGATAAACCAACATGCATCCAACATTAAAGTAAAATTAAAGTCAATTACACAACAGATTCAGACTGTGTTATCTTACTGATTAGAGTAATCAGTAATTACTTACTCTGGCAACATTGCTCATTACTTTCATCTTCAGTGCGCTGTGTGGCCTGAAGAGTCTTTCAGTAATACATCATCACTTCTCTCACTGCAATATTAATCTCCAAACTCAGCCAGTCATTTTTCATTCTGCTGCCTAAATCTATTTCAACTCAATTCATTGAGGAAAAAAAGGGGAGCTCATGGGCGCTAGGGGGATGTTTCATTAACATTCTGGGTTAAAAATAGAGAGAACAGATCTTCCCCTTGCTAGTGTAGTTCAACATATCTCACCCTTGTCTAATGCTCGTCTTAATTCTTATTATCCAACCTCCCCTCTTGTTGGGCGAGAAATGAATGCTGGAAACCGTGGCCATATGTATCTATTTGCAGAGTTTTATTCCACTTTGTTTCCTTTACTTTTTAAATCTGCAGCTCTCCAAATGCATCTTGGAGGAGAATATTACCATTATAACTGGTCGTAAGCCTTCGTCTCCCATGTGTGCTTGTGATAACCCGCCTTAACGTTCACCTGGCTTGATAATTGCACTGAGCGCTATCAGGTGTAGATTGCAGTGGTTCTCGTCATGGTTCACACATATGATCTGCCTCTTTACTGCTGCTCCTCTCAACGAGTGTGTTACATGTTTCACAGTTATTGTGCGCAGCAAAGTGAATGCAACCAGCATTCAAAGACAAGGTGAGGACTCGGGTTGTGCTGTTATCAGTGTGGAAAACAGTGACTGATTAATTATGTATGCAGCAGACACTGTGCCCATTATGACAGTGGTCAATTAAGTGTCACCTTCTGTGA